TGATTAAAGGTAAAAAAATCACAATTCAATATTTGTGATTAAAGTATGAAAATATAATAAAGACATTATTGGAGTAACATTGTTAATCAGTTTTGTTAAAGAATCCCACACTCTTGCGAGCCATGTATAAACTGTGTGGGTGATTTTCCGACCACACTGCCCGCTTAGTAACCAGCTGGAGAGCACCGGCAGAATAGATAGCACCTAACTGACCTGCAACAGAAATATAAAAATGATCAAGTCAGTATATCTCTCAAAGATAAATCAAGTACCAAACTCACAAGCTTGAGTATCAAAAGCATACCTTAGACTCATGGAGGTGCCTCTCTTTTATAGCCAATACAATCCTAGTCCCAATAGGAGCCTGACCCTAATAGACTTAGGATTACTGTTAATCTGAGACTCCTAGTGGGATTAGGATAAACTCTCTAAGAGTCTTATCTTTACCCAAATTGAAGTTTTCTCTTCATTCTAGGACTCTTGTCTCTTATCACTTATCTCGGATTCCGATATCTTCGGAGATAATCTCGGCGTCACGATCAGGACACGTGGCACCTCGGTTGACACGTCGGCGTCACCTCGGCTGACACGTCGGTGTCACTTTGCCACGTGTTAGTACTCAGAAAATATATCCCCACATAAACTTTATGGTAATTTTGTAAGAATGTATAGTATTTCTCTTGTAAAATTATAACAATTTATTACTAATGTTATTCATTGTTAAAATATAACAAGAGATAAAGTCTAAACAAATAAATTATTGGAGATGATGTTAGGCTTCAAGTTGTAACATAGCACTTGTATTAGTACGCCCATAAAAATAAGAAAAATGTTTGGGAGCACTAATTAGTGCTCCCACTAATTAGGTTGGAGTGGGTCTCGCCATTAATGATGTGATATTTTGGTTTTGGAGTTGTGTGTGTGTGTTTTTTTTTTTTTTTACTTTTTTAATGCATTAGTGCTATTAGTGATGATGTTTTTAGTGGGATGAATTATTGTTGTAAAAATAAATATACAATTGTAAAATATTTGATTGGGGAGTAAAAATATTTGACTAGGTCAACTTTATTAAAATATCATCGGCTTTCACGGGTCAATAGTGCAATCATAATTTTAACCCAAAAAAGAAAAGAAAAAGGGGTTGTAAGAGTTAGCCTGGATCGAACATATGTCCAATGAATGGTTTAATGATAAGTCCGATCTGTTTTTCAAAAGGGTTCAGCTCGTGGAGATGAAGACTGGATTCGTTCAGTTTGATTTATGAATTTATTTTTGAGTCGTGTTTCAGTAATTTGAATTGTTTAATGTGTAAAAATCGTCGAATATTATATCTCTGTAAAAAATTACATTGATCGGATATCGATAGCTATTTGATCGGATCAGATTTGTATTAAATAGCTATTTGATCCGATTAAATAGCTATCAATATCTAATCAACATGATTTTTTATTCTACACATTAACAGTTCAAATTATAAAAATAAATCCTAAAAATAAATTTATAAATTAAACTGAATAAATTAATCTTAATCTCAATATGAGATAACCTAAACCCTTTCAAAACTATGTGTGATAGGCTCGACAAAGGTTAAAAATAAATAAATGAACAAGTACATAAAAGCTAACGCAAGTTATGGAAAGTGTAAGTTTGTGATTTTTGTGGTAGACATTCGAACACTTCACCAAATTAAAAAGCGCCACATTGAACATACCTCTCCACTACTAGGGTTGTGGCTTGTGAAGCATTCTATATCGAGCAGACCAAATCCGAGGTTGATTGATTGACCAACAAATGAATTCAACATTTAAATACAATCAAAACTAGTGTTTGCATCTTATCAAACACTAAAGTAAGAAAATAATAATAATAATCATATCAAACACAATTCACATTATATCAAATAGTAAGACTTTGTTTGTCAATTTTTTAAAAAAGTCAAAAAGTTACTATCTTATTTAAGAAGTAGATTGGCTTTTTGACTTTTTTGGCTATTTTAGCCTGGGCTAAAAAGCTTGATTTGGGAAGGGCTTTTTGACTTTTTAGCTTTTTGACTTTTTTTTTGTGAGAGAAGAGTGTAATGATTTTGGATTGGATGTGATATTTTGTTTTTTGTGGCTAAAATAATCTATTTTGTCTTTTTGACTAAAATAGCCAAAAAAACCCACAAAATCCCTTCTCAATCGGTGCCTAAATCACATCATCTTATTTAAGTCACGTCACCTCTCTACCATATCACTTCAAACTTAACACATACCCAACCCATATTTTATAAAAAGTCAAAAAGTCAAAAAGTACATATATTTAAAATATCCCAAACCATCCCTAAATTGACTCAGTAATTGCTATGACAAATATTATGCACCTTACTGATTAAAAAAAATAAAATATTTCAAAATAAAAAAATCGATCAGACAACTAAGGATACAATCTTCTTACATGCAATGAATTTCAAAAATTGTGTTTGATTTTATAATTAATTTGTGATAGATTATTTTAATATTTTTTATTTTTTAATTTATTTTGTTTTGGTGATCTTTTATTTTGTCCATAAATGAAAATTATTAGAAGGTCATGGACATTGGTGGTGAGTTATTTTTGGAGGTTTTGAGACTCTTTCTTTTCTCTAATTTAATAGTCATTATTTTTTGATGTAATTTATAAGGGCTTAGTAGTCTATAAATTGTTCCTCTCATTTACTTATTTCTACACCAACTCTTTTTACAATCGAGAGATTACTAGCCAAAAAAATGTGTTTTTCTTGGTTGAGTTTTGCGTTTACCATCATGAGCAGAATTGGCCTGAACCATATCATAAGTGGTTGGGTTATTGTATTCTGAAGCAGACAAGTTAGAATTTAATGACTGTTGTATCGATAGGTTGGTGACCTTTTTAGCCATAAAAAAAGTAAAATAAGTTAAAAAATCAATAAAATAAAATGTCACATTTAAATCATTATCATTTTACTTTTTCTTTTACAAAAGTAAAAAAAGTCAACTCAAATAAACTTTTTAGTCATAGGCTAAAATAACAAAAAAGTCAAAAAATCAACTCACTTATCAAACGAAGCCTAAATTAGCCACGAAATAGGCTAGAAAACAAATAAAATAAAATATTACATCTAAATTATAATCATTTTACTTTTTTTCTTATAAAAATTAAAAAAACCAATCCAAACAAACTTTTTTAGGCAAGGTTAAAATAGCAACCTAAAAAAAAAAGCCAACCTAACTTTCCAAATGAATTATAACCAGATATTACTTAAATAACATTTACAATAATTTAAATTAAGTCATAAATAACATCACAATGAGTTATAATTAAATGAGAATCATATTATACACACCTTTATACTATATGCTCTCTTAGTTATTTTATTTTCTTCTCTAGTTATGACTAATTTTCTTCTTTAATTATGACATTATTTTGAGATATTATAACTTTTTTATGTTTAGTTATGTCTTTTTTTTCTTTTAATTATGACTCAGAAAGTACGAAATTATGTTTTTTTTTTCTTCATGTAATTATAAAGTGCATATATAATACAAGAATGTGTACCATAAACTTTTCCATAAGTAAATCATAATCAACAAAAAAACAATCAGTGTGTCTGGTTTGAGCTTTTTGAATTGAGTTTTTTGAATTAAGTTTTTTAAAAATTGAGTTTTTTGGTTTTCGTGTTTTTTTTGTTTTTAGTGAATATTTTTAAAATTTTAAACATTTTTTTTTACTTTTTTAGATGCATCTTACTTAGATGTATCTAAAAAGTAAAAAAATTGTGAAAAAATATTTTTAAAAATTAATAAATACATGAAAATACAAAAAATGTACTGAATTCTCATTTTTTTTTTGTATTTTTGGTATTTAGTGAATTTTTTTTAAAAAAAATTTCAATTTTTTTTTTACTTTTTAGGTATATTTATGTTAGGTATGTCTAAAAATTTAAAAAATTGCTCAAAATATTAAAAAAATTCAGTAAAAACAAAAAAACAGGAAAAATAAGAAAGTAGAAATTTTCTGAAAAGTGTTTTTGAAAAATGATAACCAAACATAGTGAATGACTTTTAACTAAACACCACTTAAAATATTACCAAAATAACAACTAAAATCATAACAAATCTAAATAATATATATAATTTTTTTTTCGGGGAACATATATAAATGTTGGATATAAGTGTATTACAAAATTTTCCAATAAGACAATCATAAAATATTAGAGCATCTTTATCAAATTAGTTATTCGACAATGCTAGGTAGCTCAAATTTTTGTGGCTCAAATGACTCAAATCTGTCAAAACGACGTCGTTTTGACAGATTTTGAGTGTAAAACGACGTCGTTTTGACAGATTTGAGCCATTTGAGCCACAAAAATTTGAGCTACCAAACATTTTCCTTAGTTATTTTCATTCTTTAGTTAAAATAGTGAATAAATTACAAAATTTCACTTTTATGGCATCATTTGGCAATATCACTTTTTAGCTTAAAAGTCAAAAAGTCACTAAAAAATCAAAATCCTAACAACTTACACCAAAAAGTTAAAAAATCATTTTCATTCTACTTTTTGCACATTTTTTCGTAAAAAATCAAAAAGTCATCACAAACATACTAATTTTTTATATTATATTTTAGCCAAAAACATTAAAAAATTACTACAAAAAACATGTTGCCAAACGTCAAGTCAGTGATTTTACATTTGATCGTTTTGACTCAATAAATGTAACTAGTGGTTTCACCTAATTAAATATTAAAAAATATTACTTTTTTATACTTTGAAATTAATTATGTTAAGTTTATAAAAAAATTAATTCTAATTAAAATGAATAAAAAATAAAGAATTTGTTAGAAAAAATAAATTTAAAAAGATGAATAATTAAAATAAAAAAAATTAATTAATTTGATGAAGATGTAATGAGCCATTATTAATGGGGCCTAGGCCCAAATAATGGAGTAGCTGATGAGTCACGAGTGATGAGTGACGTGGAATAAAAGCCAGAAGAGCCAATCTATCAATACAATACGATCGATCAGCTGCCTCTGTGGTTCAAGTCAAGTCACCACCACGAGACTCTTTCTGAGTCGCGAACTCAGCAGCAATGGCGGCCACTAGAGTGATAGCCACAGTAGCCTCAACCAACACCATCACCACCACCACCACCACTGCTTTACTGTTCAGAGGTCCATTGCGAAGATCCAACGGCCTAAGTCTCTGCTTCAACACCAATAACAACAGCAGATTGGTTCCTAAGAGGAGGTCCTTCACTTGCACTGCTCTTTACAAGCCTGAGATTCACATCAAGGAAGAAGGCCAACCTCAAACCCTAGACTTCCGAGTCTTCTTCCTCGACAATTCCGGCAAAAAGGTCTCCCTATCTGTCATATACCGTTACTCTTGGGTGATGGTGTTTTCAATTTTATTGTTGAAATACCCAAAGAAACAAGTGCAAAGATGGAGGTTGCTACTGATGAGCCATTCACTCCAATAAAGCCGAATACCAAGAAAGGAAAACTTCGATTCTATCCATATAATATTAATTGGAATTATGGATTGCTTCCACAAACGTGGGAAGACCCATTATCGGCAAACTCTGATGTTGAGGAGGCACTTGGAGATAATGATCCAGTTGATGTGGTTGAGATTGGTGACAGCCATTCACTTGTTAACGATGTTGATGATGTTGAGAAGCATTTCCCGGGCACTCTTACTGCAATCAGGGACTGGTTCAGAGACTACAAGATCCCTGATGGAAAACCTGCTAACAAGTAGAGAATTTGAGAAAAAAAATTAGCTTATATTTGATTCACATCTTCCTTTCCTTTTTCAAATCCCTTTCTAATTTCCTTCAGGTTCTCTGTGATCAATACAGGCATTAGGTAGATTTGGTAGAGCATTAGTCATCATGTATAATATGTGGATTTTCCATCAATTTGGACTAGTTTGCTACAAATGCTTCTATTTACTAGCTAGTATTTACTTACCATGCAGGTTTCTCCCTGGCATGATATACCATTACGCTTGGATGATGGTTTTTTCAATTTTATTGTTGAAATACCCAAAGAAACAAGTGCAAAGATGGAGGTTGCTACTGATGAGCAATTCACTCCAATAAAGCAGGATACCAAGAATGGAAAACTTCGATTCTATCCGTAAGATGCACAATTTACCCTTTTTCTTTCCCCCTCTTTTCTTCTTCACAACTTCTTAGTGCATATTTTTTATTGTTGTTTGAACCAGCCATTTTAGCTTGTTTTTTGTATAAGCATCTAATTATCAATGGACTGCTTAATTTATCATTGGTGATGGCATGCACCCGAAAAGTGGAATGTGTTGCGATTTGTGGATTACTGGTCTCATACAGGAGGCTGGCATCTAACGATGATGATAATCCTAATGTCCGTATGCTATTCTTGTTAACCTTTACCTAATGAGTTTGCTTTTTCTGAGGACAATTCCCAGCATTGCTAGCAAATGGCAAGCAACCTGGCCTATAGATTGCATATGTTTCTTCATGTTATTAGTTAATATAATCCCATTTTGTCTTTCAATCATGTTTTTATGTATTTGAATCAAGAAGATAAAAATGGTATATATTTTATGCAGAATGTACTGAGTGGTAGCTACAATTATATTTTTCTTCTATTGGGCACTATCTACAGCAGTTAGGTAACTGATATAAATCCTAATAGTTGACTTGAATACTGGAGAAGAGGTTAAATAAATGGAAAATTTGGCTATAAACCCCCATTACCTTCCTTTCATTGTTAAAAGGATTAAGAAAAAAATTATACTTTCTAAACCCCCTCATAATTATAAAGTCTTGCATAAAACAAAATTTATTTTTTAAATATTCTATCAGACTATTGTACCCTCAACTAAATCTTTCCACCTTCTCCGCCCACTCTCTCCCCACCTTCTCCGTCTCTCTCTTCTACCTCACACATGGCAACCCCTCACACATGGCGACGACGACGCCTATGTTCCGGTGTTTCACAGTGGTTTGCAGACGACATCGTTGCTTTGATTCACCGCTCCTATCTCTCTCTCTCTCTCTCTCACAGTTCCGAAGAACCTAGGTGGAGCAATGGTGGTGGTGGTGGTGGTGATGGATTCTCTGCCATTGCAGATCGATTAGAGAGATCGACACAAATCTCATATCTCAGATCTACACAGATCGACATACGGCGTCTTCATCCTCAGATCTGAGATCGCGAACAGATCGTAGAAAGCTCCAATCGATACTCGAAATTGGCTCCTCCTCTTTTTAGCGGGATCCAAGTCTCACACTCCATTGATGGTCTCAGCTCTCTCTCTCTCTCTCTCTCTCTCTCTCTCTATTAGGACCAGATAAAGCTTCAACACCGATTTCATTAGAGCCCGTACACATTACACAACAAAATTATGTATAGATGTAAACATATGTTCCTTTGATTTTATGATTTTGGGCTTCTCCACATAATTTACTTTAGATTCTTTGAACTTTTGCTCGACCGCTACATAGACTTCGTTTTTCTCTCTTGAAATCTCTTAGATCAATAACATATATCTAAGCTGTTGTTAGCCTTCACTGGATGTGGATGATAATATGATTTTTTTTCTTTTTTTCATTTTATTTGTTGTTGTTGTGTTGTTGATGATGATGATGATGATGATGTAGATGAAGAAACATATTGCAACAAATATATATATATATTTTTTTTCTTGTGTTGATGTTGATGTTGATGAAAATGAGACAGATTGTAATAGATATGGAGAACATGAATATGAGCTGTAGATGTCGCCTTGTTTCCAATTGGCTTTTTTTTTATTTGTTAATAGATCTTAGAGTAAAATTTGACTCTAGTTCATTCATTTAGTATGTATTTTATTTTTTGTAACAGTAAAATTTTACTCTGGTTAAAAACATGTTGATTTGCTTAACAATATAAAATTTTACTTTGAATCATAGTAAACTTTACTCTGATTCAGAGTAAAATTTTACTCTGAATCAGAGTAAAGTTTACTATGATTCAAAGTAAAATTTTACTCTGAAATTTTACTCTGGTTAAAGACATGTTGATTTGTTTACTATAATTCAAAGTAAAATTTTACTCTGAAATTTTACTCTGGTTAAAAATATGTTGATTTGTTTAACGATATAAAATTTTACTTTGAATCATAGTAAACTTTACTCTGATTCAGAATAAAATTTTACTCTGAATCAGAGTAAAGTTTATTATGATTCAAAGTAAAATTTTACTTTAGTTAAAAATATGTTGATTTGCTTAACGATATAAAATTACTCTGAATCAGAGTAAAGTTTACTATGATTCAAAGTAAAATTTTACTCTGAAATACACTGTGTGTAAGGATGGCTTAATAGAAAAACTTATAGATATGAGGTTAATATAGTAAAAGAAACAAATTTTAAAATATTAGGGGGTTTTGAAAGTATCTATATAATTCTTGTCCTTTTGAAAGACAAATTAGACAGTGAGGGGTCTATCACCAAATCCCCCTAAATAAATAGGCTGTGTAGGCTTTTTAAAAAATTCCTGCAATTTCCTTGAGAGCTGGGCTTAGGTACTCAGTGTGGAAAAATGAACTGGCTATATTGACCTTCATGCCATTTACACGGTTTAATAGAGTTGAATCGATTTCATTCTACCCGAGAGTTTTGGTATGTGAAGTTTGAAGTCAGCTTGTTTACCCTTTCTTTTATTCTCCCTTAATGTTAAATGCCAGAATCCCTGGTACTTCTTGCCACCGTATTGATCTATTAAAAGGACCCTAGATTCCTCTCCTTGCATTCCTTTTCATGGATGTTTATATTGACAGTTTGAAATTTGAGATTCTTAATGTTGAAGTTCCTGAATCATTTCATTTTATCCTATCGTTCTCAGACATAATATTAATTGGAATTATGGATTGCTTCCACAAACGTGGGAAGACCGGTCATTGGCAAACTCTGATGTTGGGGGTGCACTTGGAGATAATGATCCAGGTAATACTCAAGCAAACATTCAGTTCCTCTGTACTAAACATTCTTGTACACACACACACACAAATGCCTACACATTGAAATTATTTTGGATGATTTCTTCAATTTTCAGTTGATGTGGTTGAGATTGGTGACAGTCAAGGAAAGATAGGCCAGATTATGAAGGTCAAACCCTTAGCTGCTTTGGCAATGATTGATGAAGGGGAACTTGACTGGAAAATAGTTGCGATTTCATTGGATGATCCAAGAGCTTCAGTTGTTAACGATGTTGATGATGTTGAGAAGCATTTCCCGGTATGTTTTTGTTGAACTAAGCAATATTTTGTTTAGTTTCTTTTAGATATATCTGCTGATTATTTCTTGTAATATCTGTGGTATAACATCTACTTTCATGCTCTCTTGATGCTAAAATCATGGTGGTTTTATGGAAGTTGAATAAAAAGGTTGCCAGAAAGGAGCCAACCACAATTTGTTATGATGAGAGCATGTTAGGTTGGTTGAATTTCTTCATTGCGTAAATATTGTAATTAGCTTATCTTCCTATGAATCTCTGTTTGTGTTTTTTTTATTTATATTTTCTGGTCTCTTTTAGAAGGATTTGTTAGCATATTCAGGTCCCACTTTTATCGCTCATCAAAATAAACAAATACACAAGGTACCAGTTTTATCAGATTTGGTTGCAATTTCTGGTGATCCTCTCGTTATCTTGTTAGCTGGTTTTTGTTTTTCCTTTTCTTTCCCCTGTAAACGATGAGAGTTTCATTATATGATTTGGTGCACTGAGTGACACTGCTGATGCACATTGTTTCAGTTTTCACCTGCCAGCCTTTTTCCAGCATTTGTTGGCTATCAAATTTACTTTGTTAAATAATGTAAGAAATTCTACAGCCATGGTGCCAGTATGTACGGCCTTTCTCTCTCATTAGATAACCCACATGTGGGGGAGCGTTGTGCATATAGAAATTAAGGATGTGGGTGTAGCTTCTCCTTAAATGATTTAAGAAATTTTAGCCCTTACATTCAGGCTTTGCTACTTTATCAACAACTGAATTATACAGGTTTGCAAGGGTGGCTTTAGATCAGCCCACAACCTGCATCTTCCATGTATGTTGGGGCTGTAGTCCAATATTCAAAGCTGTTCCTTCATACATCATCCATCTCTAATTTTTCGCAGTTCTGTTCTCATTTATCTGTTTGTAATGTCATTGTAATATCCATGCCATTTCCAGAGCAGCTTTAATCAATGCTGCACCGACCTGAAAACTTTAATTTCTGAGTTACCCTCGATATCACTACAACATATTTGAGCTTCAATGCGTTTGCCAATTTTTTTAATTTCTTATTATGGTTTAAGTTATTATACAAAGGGCAGTGCCCTAGAGATTGTTGGTATTGCGTTTACTAGTCACAGACGGTATTATACAGGTGTTAGTTACCTCAAATCCATTGGATAAGAGCAATGAGAATTTAGGGATATTTTTGATTTCAGAATTGGTTTTGATTACAATAATTGTGGTTCATATGTACCTTTAAAATTCAATTGCATTGCAATGTCAGTGATCAGGGATAAGGTGTCATAGTTATTTGCCAACTGTGATACCTTTTCCCTTGATAATAAACAAGATAAGTTAACTTAAGCTGCTTAAAATTGGATTTTATGATATGTATATGAGTTGCTGTTTGAAATTGTCAATGGGCCTAATTTGGTATCTTTCTCCAGGGCACTCTTACTGCAATCAGGGACTGGTTCAGAGACTACAAGATCCCTGATGGAAAACCTGCTAACAAGTTTGGTCTTGGCAACAAAGCAGCAAACAAGGTATTAGTTTCTATACCTCCCTCATTGTAGATTGCTTAGGTGCAATTCTCTGCTTGCATGACATCTTCTTCAATTGCAAAGAAGCTTGACACCTTGAAGGGTTTTTGATTTGTTTTAAAGTGTTGAAGTTAATTGAATTTTCTGTCCACTAAAAGTTAGAAAATGCACCTTTAGTACTGTCAGGTTTTCAATTATTATGACTTCTCCAGAAAGTCTGTACGCCATGCAGCACAAGTCATTAAGACAGAAATTTTGTACATTATGCATTATGCGTACTGGATTTGAAGTACTTGTGGAACACACTAAAAGGGGAAGAAAAAACTGAGAAAAAAGTGTTGTGTTATGGCATATGTGACATTTCATCCCACATCAGCTTGGTAATAAAAGTACTTGTATATGTGAGTTCACTCACATTCGCATTTCAAAGCCGTGAGGGATTAGCCCAAAAGCGGTGGGACCTAACTTCAGGTTCAGCTGTATAGGCCATAAGTGCTGGGAACGACTCTATGAGCCACCTCATGAGGTCGTGTGGTTCTAAGGAGGGGTGTATGTGACATCCCGACCGACATCAGCTTGGTAGAAAAAAGTTTGTGGACTGGCAATTAGGTTAAAAGTCAAAATGTTAGCTTTTTTATTTTTTTTTGGTCACATCACCTTTCTATTTTTTATACGTTTTTTCAAAAAAAGCTTTAAAAAGGTAAAAAAAACTAACTTCTAATCTACTTTCCAAAATAGAGGCTGTCACTATGTTAGTTGTAGAGTTGAAGAGCTGCAGGTGCTTCTGCTTCTACCTTTATTAAGAAATCATTCATCTTCTGTGTGGCAAAAAATGGTAATATTATTTGTCACGGTCAAGCTCAATGTGAAATTTTCCATTACGTAGCTAATTTTTTTGGACAATTCTTGTTTTCTCTGCATAACATTAAAAGATTGGTTATGCCTGTATTTAACTGAGATTTTTATCTGGATGAACTCTTTGAAATGTCCTGAATCATTGATCAAGTGGTTGAATCTCAAGTGCAAGACTTTAAAGCAGAAAGGAACATAGAATAGCTTGTAGATCAAGTCATATGTGCAATTTCTAGTAATGACGCTTGTAGGGGAGAGCAGCACAGTCAAACTTTGGAACTAATGGTTGTGGTCAGTCTCGGCCTAAGATTTTGACCTCGTTAAAATTTTGAAAAATTAGAGCCCTCGACTAGGTTTTTGAGAAATTCGAGCATTAGACAATAATTTATTTATTTATATATGTTTTTTTTAAGTTGTCTTGATCTTAGGCAATAGATTAAATGATTATAGTTTTGATGAATATAGACTAACCAAAAAAGCTTTTTATTTCATCTAATTTCGGTTGCTGGAATTGGTGGCAACTATACTTCTATACAATTCAAGGCTAAAAATATGACTATTTGATTAAATGATAGTAAGTTCATTATACGAAAAATTTTATATTTTTTGTATATGCATGGCGATTTTCTTTTTGGAAATAATTTTATACATAAATACCTTCCAATGCAAATACAGGAAAAAGTCATTTCATTAAGCATAAACAATGTCTTAATTCATATTCCCTTGTTAGAACAACATAATATATTTATGATAAAAAGTTTGTGCCCGTTTCACGTGGTGATTTAACTCCCATCATTAAGGCCTGGTTTGGCATAACTTATATAATCCATCTTTTTATCTTTTTATTTTTTTTCCATCACATCACCTCTCTACTTTTCTGCACATCTTTTCGTAAAAAGACAAAAAGTGCACTTTTTTAGGACACCCCAAACCAACCTTAAAACTATTGATAAATTACATTGGATTTATAAAATTCTAGAAGAAAATTTTAATAAAATTTTATTAAAACTATGGCAACGTAATCCGCGTTATTGTAGTTTAAAATTAAAAGGTCTTAATGTTATCATTAGAGTAAGACTAATGATCTATACTAGATAAGATATAGATGAATTTGATATTCAACTTCAGGAACTTTTAGATAAAAAGTTAATTGAAGAAATTAGAAATCATCACTCTAGTTCAACTTTTATGGTAAGAAATCATATTGAAATTAAAAGAGGAAAAGCTAGAATGGTTGTTAACTATAAACGGCTAAATGAAAATTTAGAATTTGATGGATATTTTATTCCAAGAAAAGATGTTTTGATTAACTTAACCAAATGATCAAAAATCTTTAGTAAATTTAATTGTAAGAGTAGATTTTGGCAAATTCAATTGACTGAAGAGTCAAAAAAATTGACAGTTTTCAGTACACCTTGAGGATATTATTAGCATTGGAATGTTATGCATTTTGGGTTAAATAGAGCACTACAGATATTTTCACAGTGGATGGATACAATTTTTAAAAATCTTAAGGATTGTTGTGTAGTTTATATTGATAATATACTTATCTTCTTTAAAACCAATGAGGAGCATAAGAAACATTTAAAATTACTTTGTAAAAAATTTAAAAAACATGAAATTATTTTATCACCAAAAAAGATTGAACTAGAAAAAGAATCAATTGAATTTTTAGGAATAATTTTAGACCAAAAAGGTTTAAAATTACAAGAACATATTTTGTTCAAAGTATGGATTTTTTCTAATACTTTTGAAAATATAACACAATTACAGAGTTTATTAAGGATTTTAAATTATAGACGAAATTTAATCAAAAATCTTTCAAAAATAGAAATTCCTTGGTTAACCAAATTAAGGAAAAATGTTAAAACTTTAGCAGATGTTTATCTTCTTAAAACAGGTGATAAATTAATTTTAGAAACAGATGCCTCAAAAGCATGCTGGGATGTGTTCTTAAAGCAATAACAAGTAATTTATGGCATGATAAAGAGATACCTTTATCACAAAATGGGATTAAACCAAGAAAAAATTAATACCCATAAAATTACAAAAAGAAGAATTAATTTGTGGATATAATTCTGGAACATTTAAACCAAATGAACAGAAATATATTATTTTTGAAAAAAAAATACTTGCAAAAAAATTGACAATAAAAAGTTTTTATATTTATTTAACCCCAAAAAAATTTATTGTTCGCACTGATAATAAGGTAGTAAGAAATTTCTTAATCAATAAAAAACTTATTGAGCAAGGAAGAAGATTAGCTTGGTATAACAAAATTTCTAAATATGTTTTTTGAGGTAGAACATCTTAAAAATACTAACAATTTTCTTGTAGATTTTCTTAATAAAAATTGTTTCAAAAAATTAAATTACTAAACAAGTAATTTTAATTTTTGCAGAAGACCTCTAGACCAAGAGGAAACAATGGACAATGATAAACAACATGCTCAAAGAGATTGGGTGACAATTGCTAAAAAAGCAATCCCCAGACAAGAAAAGGTTTATGTTGTGTTCACAGGAAAACAACCTGGAATTTATATAGACTAGAATGAATGCAATAAGTAAGTTTGTCGATTTCTAGGAGCCAGTCATAAATCATATGATAGCATGACCAAGGCTAAAAAAAGGTTTTCTACAGTACACTAGTTATGCCTGTTTATCAATAGAATTTTTGTCAAATGAGAACTAACCCAGTTCTAACTAATATTCAGACATCTAAATCAGATGAATCTGAAATAAAAGACTTTTTCAATACTGGTATATCTAGAGAAATTTATACAGAACTCAATGGAGTTTGGAAAACTCACATTATAGACAACAAAGTGAAATTTCGAAAACACATAGGAGTTCTAGCCAACAAATTAGCTGAGTAAACAGCTAAATTAAAAGATTTGTAAAATTTTTGTTTCAATATTCTTAAACAAATGAATTGGAACGAAGATTTTAATTTTGAAAAAATAAATAATTTTCTTTAGCTATCGGACCTCATATCAGATTAGTTTTCTGATCCAGTTTTTGAACAAATAAAAAGAATTTGTCTTTTTGAAAAAGTAAGAACTTTGCTTCGAAAAGAAATTTTTATGTTAATCAAAAATCGAGTTGAGGATGATCATCGTGATAAGATTAGACAAATCTTAGAACGATCTTATGATAAATTAAATTTGAAAGATGGAATTCCCAAAATAACTATCATGGCAAACCATGACATGTGGTTTTTTGAAGACATAGATTGGGGAATAACTAATCAAGTTATTTTCCAAATTTTAGATCCAATCCAATGGATAGATTATCCAATGATCATAAAAGCAATGCTCTCATGGGTAGTAAAAGGCTTCTAATGGAGTAAATACTTTACTTTCTGGATCTCTAGCACTATTGGTTGGTGAGAACGAGAACATTTTTTTCCAACCATACCAGATTTGGTATCTTAAAGAAACTGAAGATTTTGAATTTGAAAATGATTATTTAGATGAAGATCGTCTGAGAGAGCAATTGGAAAATATTCAAAAACTTTTTTTGACAGAATATTGGATTGACAGTTTAATATTTGTTTCATAGGCAGCGTCCAATATTCATGGCTCAGCAAAATTACCATTCTTGGTCACAAATGGTAGAATACTATTTGTAACTCACTTTCCCATAACATATCAAAGGTCTCCTACACAAATTAATGAGACTCTTGACATGTTATTAAATCTCAAAAAGAGAAATAACTGGGGAGCTGTCACTTGTGTAAATGTTAGTTGTAGAGTTGAAGAGCTGCAGGTGCTTCTGCTTCTACCTTTATTAAGAAATCATTCATCTTCTCTGTGGCAAAAAAATGGTAATATTATTTGTCATGGTCAAGCTCAATGTGAAATTTTCCATTACGTGGCTAATTTTTTTGGACAATTCTTGTTTTCTCAGCATAACATTAAAAGATTGGTTATGCCTGTATTTAACTGAGATTTTTATCTGGATGAACTCTTTGAAATGTCCTGAATCATTGATCAAGTGGTTGAATCTCAAGTGCAAGACTTTAAAACAGAGAGGAACATAGAATAGCTTGTAGATCAAGTCATATGTGCAATTTCTAGTAATGACGCTTGTGGGGGAGAGCAGCAGAGTCAAACTTTGGAACTAGTGGTTGTGGTCAGTCTCGGCCTAAGAT